ATCATAGATAAAATTCCAACTATGAGAGATTGCAAGACTGCAGTACAGACAGCGTATTTGGCCGCTCTTGGGCGCCCCATTCCAAGTTCATTGGAGACTCGAGTGCTGCGTACAGATGGTTGTTGATCGTTAACAATGATGTGATCTTATCAACACCAGAAAAATGCATGGAAAGTGCATTACATATTATATAGAGCAACATTTACCTTATAGCAGCATTTAGTCCAACCAACAACATGATCTCCCAATTCTGAAAGTTCATGCTAAAAGAACAAAAATATGAAAGAAATGAGAACTACAATTAGTTTGATGCTTTCAGTCATGGAGATGAGAACAAGTGCATAGCAGCATAAATATGATCTTACCATATAGAAAAGGAACCAACAGCAATCACTGCATTTTCAAGTAAACCTGCGAGAATGTTTATGGTCATGGTATACCATGAGTCTAGGCAAAACATCATGCATGAGGCAAGGGATAGCTTAGCAAAAGCCCAAATGTCCTTAAATGCCAGCCATGAAAATCCAGTCCACTCCTCTTTGCACCAAACCATAATATACACAACTTGACCAACTGTAATTCCCCAATGTGTGATGTCATAAGCTACAGCTGCACCAGTGGTTCCCCAGCCAAACACATTGATGAAAAGATGAAGGAGTCCAGTTTGTATGATCAGCGCCACAAAAGCAATCAATGCCATTGCGCTAACCTTGCTCTGAGCCTGAAGGAACCTCTGAGTGGGCAAAAAGATGGCAAAGGAGAACAACTGAGGAATTATCTTTACACTATATTTTCCAGCAAGATCAGCTATATCACTTTCTTGGCCTAAACTCTCCAGTATTGGAGCGGCAAAAATATAAACCGGTGAAAGGATGATACAGGTGATTAATAGGACAATCCATGACCGCTGCATATAGATACCAAGCAACCCAACTTGGCCTGCACCAAATGCTTGACCACAAAGCGTTCCCAGTGCAGTTGCCATACCTTGCTACATATATACATGCATAGCTAAATTAAATTGGTCTCTCTTTCATTCCTTCAACACAAGTCATCTCTTAAGCAACATTTAGCTTTTGGCATATCAAAATAGACCTTCCAGTCAAAAGACTGAGGAGAATGTCACCATATATTCACCTAATAAATGTAAATTCAACTCACTCAAAAGTCAAAACTTTCCCTGTAATTTATTAATAAGAGTAAACAACTCAAAACAATAAACATGTAAACACAGTCACATTTATCCATAACA